GAGCGGTCCATATATTTTGGTAGCAGTAAAGTATGGGGTATTTGAGAGAAAAACCCACAATAACCAACTAGGCAGTACTGGATTTTTCAGCTGAGCAAAGCAGATGTCAGACAAAGACAGCTATAGTGTTCAACTGTTTACAGCAAGCAATTATTTCCTCTCTTCACCAAGAATAATCCAAAGACAAACAATAGGCCCATACTCAATTTCCAAATGAGAACAAATTTAAAGGTCATGCATGGTCGCCGGACAAAGCAAAAGTATCTAAGCATGTGCAGTCAGCACTCAGCCCCGACACCAGAGCCTTCCTTTTGATAAATGAAAACGTTTAAAGGAATTGAGGACTCACAGGACTGTAACAGAGTGGTTGCCCCTCCCCCCACAGATATGGAAGGGAAATAATGACAACGGGAAATACCCAACAGAGGGAATGGCCTGAAAACAAAAACAGCAAAAATGTTTTCTGTCTCTTTAAAACCTTCTCACTCTTTTTGACAACAAGGACCTGAATCCCTGCTTCAGGCTAGCTTTGGAGGGGAAGGGGAATGTCTTTTGTTCTTTGTGCTACCAGAGCTGGCTCAGCCAGCCAGACCTGGTGAGGGAGTGAGGTCGTGGGCAGAGGTCAGGAGATTGTCTTCAGCAGAGATGGGACCATCAGGATCATCAACTGTAGCTGAACAGCAATTGCCTGAAGCGGAGAACCCTTAGCAGCTTTGTACTTCTCCTTATTATTAGGACTAACAGACAGGAGTCTCCATCCTCCTCATTTGCCGGCAAATTAACAAATCTCTTTCCTTCCCCTCAAACCACTTGTCCTTGTTCTTCTGATGCAGGCTCGAGGACAAGTGCCAAGCTTTTGGTAACAGAATCTCCTGAAAACAAGTTGAGGATCAACAGCTATCTGCATTTCAGATGAACAACTATTATAAAGAATAAATTTTGCAGGTTTGTCCAGAAAATAACACGGAGTAAGCCTTTCTCCTGAATTCTACGGCAGACTTTATGTCCAGTGACTCCTCCACAAAAGGAGGGAAAGGGTGGGGAAAGAAAGCAAAACCTCTTAAAGATAAAGTATAACTCAAACTTGATCACTTTTGCTCAACTCTACAAGTAGGCCTTAGCTTCAATTTACTTCTTTTATCATTATTTTTTAAAATCTTTTATTATGTAAATGTTCAAACATTCACAAAAGCAGAGAATACCAGCCCCCTGTACTCATTACCCAGGTTCAACAATCACCAACATATAGCCAATCATTCTTTTCTTTTTCTTAATTTCAAAATGTTAAGGGGGTACAAATGTTTTTGCTACATGGATACCTTTTATAATGCTTAAGTTGGGGCTTTTAGTGTGTCCATTACCCAAACAGTGTTCATTGTACCAGACAGCTAAGTTTTTACCTCTCACCTTCTCCCTCCTCCCTCACCTCCCTAAAGTTAATTTTCAACTATAAGCCAGCACACTTCTCCCCCATGCTCCACCTCTGATTATTTTAAAATTTGCTCCACTTTAGAAATAAGTCACTTGATTTCTTAGCATCTGCTTTGAAGTTATTTGGTTAGGCGTTAGTTTTCTTTCTTTTTTTCATTCTGATAACCTAAGTTTCATGAATAATTTTACAAAGTGAGAGGGGTGGCTCATAGTGCTTGTAATCCTTAGCACTCTGGCAGGCCAAGGTGAGTGGATCACTTGAGCTCAGAAGTTCGAGACAAAGTGAGAGTGGGAACAAAATTCACCAAGTTTGTGGGTTATAATTTATAAAGACCAATTTTTTTTTTTAAATATATATATATATTTTTTGAGACAGAGTCTCACTCTTTTGCCCGGGCTAGAGTGAGTGCCGTGGCATCAGCCTAGCTCACAGCAACCTCAAACTCCTGGGCTCAAGTGATCCTCCTGCCTCAGCCTCCCGGTAGCTGGAACTATAGGCATGCGCCACCATGCCCGGCTAATTTTTTCTATATATTTTTAGTTGTCCGATTAATTTCTTTCTATTTTTAGTAGAGACGGGGTCTCGTTCTTGCTCAGGCTGGTCTCGAACTCCTGAGCTCAAACGATCCGCCCGCCTCGGCCTCCCAGAGTGCTAGGATTACAGGCGTGAGCCACCGCGCCCGGCCTAAAGACCAATTTTGAGTGAGATGTACAGTACATTTTTAAACATTCAACAAGTCCTGTAGATTCTAACTTGTCTATCTCTTTAGTTTAGCCCCTCCTTTCAATGGCTACTGCTTTTTATTACTTCCCATCTGTATTTCTGTAGCCCTTTCAAATGCTGTAAGAGTTAAAATATCATTTGATCATGTCCTGGTTAAAATTCCAGAATGACTCATCACAACTTTGGAACGAAGTTCAAACACCTTAGTTCAGCTCCAAGTCTTTTCACCACTTGGCTCCTGCCTCTCTAGGGTCCTCTCCCCAGACCTCACGTCCACCATGTGTTCCAGTAGTGTTTCCCCCAAGTCACACTGCTGTCCTTTTGCGCTCATTGGTTCACCTGCCCTTCTTCATCCAGTAGCTTTCACTGTGTCTTCAAAGCCCCCTTCAGGGCTGACTTCTGCTGGATGCATTCTCTGACCCCTCACGCTCCTTCAACCAGTAGGCCCCCCACACCGCTCTGCTCCGTACTGAGTCACTGGGAAGGCCCCTAGACTGTGAGGAACTTGAGGGCATACAATCGTTTTTATTGCCTTTGTTTCCCAAAGACAAAGCATAGTGCCTGGCATAAAATAAATGAACACATTCACATGTCTGAATAAATGCCCAATTCTTGCTATGCTCTGCTCAGAAACTTTTCTTAGAAGAGTAATTTATTAATATCTTCATTAACTGTTTGCTTTGAAATCTACAGCTTGCAGGAGCAGTTGACTTTTAAAATCTGATTAGAAAAACATGGTATAAATCATATGTAGGAGTCCTTTCACTAACCGACATCCACTTCTCTCTAGCAACAACACTGACTTTCCTTGGGGAAATGCACTTTCCCACAAACTCAGGCAAAGTGGTCCTGCTGGGACTGACTGCTTCACTGTGGGGAAGGCTCCTTACTCAGGCCCCGCTAACCAATCACAGTCACAGAGATGAGGGCCCAGATGAATGTTAGGTCCAGAACTTCGGCTGAAATTACAGGAATTAGACACTTTTCCCACAGGGGTGGTAAGCAGTATGGTAGTTTTAAAATATGTTCACAAACTCTTTGCTACTCCTCCCCTCAGAAGATGAGGTCCTTTGTACATAGTAACACTAACAAAGAGAATGTGGTACAAACAGCAGTTTTCGAATTTCAAAACTAGGTCATAAAAAGTATTGTGGCGGAAACCTTCCCCTCTCTCTGAGATCACTTGCTCTGAAAGACGACAATTACCATGTGAGGACACAGGCCCTATGGAAAGACCCACCAGGCATGAGAATGAAGACTCCGGCCAACAGCCCAGAAAGGACCTAAGGCCTCCAGTCATCAGCCATGTGAGAGAGCCATCCTGAAATCAGATTCTCCAGCTCCAATCAAGCTTTTAGATGACAGCAACCCCAGAGACCCTGAGCCATAGTCACCTAGGTAAGCCACTGAATTCCTGATGCACAGAAATTGCTGGATAATAAATGTTTGCTGTTTCAATCCATTAAGCTTTGTGTTAATTTTTTACTTGTGTTAATGTTTTACAAGCAGGTAACTACTACAAGAAGGTAGATTAGAAGTAGGAGCCTGAGAAAAAGGCCAACACAGAGGGAAACGGGGCAGAGAGAAGGCATACGAAAGGGTGGAGAACTAGTAAGACATCCCCCACCATGATCTCACTCAAGTCTCAGACCCCTCTTGCTCCTGGTTCCCTAGACCTTCCACCGTGGAAGCCAGTGGAATCCCTCTGTAGCTGGAATCAGTTTTAACGGATTTCTGATACTTGAAGCCAAAAGCATCCCAGTCAGTGCAATCAGGACTCAGAACTGGTAAACTGCCTGAATAAATGTCCACCTGAAGCCTGGGTCATTTCCGTTATTTCCTCCTTCCCTGTTCACATGCTCCATGTTTTGATTATTTATCGAATCTATCATCTGTCTCCTGCAGTAGAATTGCTCCTTGAGGACAGGGAGTTTGTCTGTTTTGTCGAGTCCGTATCCCGAGCACTCAGAAGCCCGGGGAGCCTGGCACCCAGCAGCAGACACTCAGGAGTGTTTGTTGAGCTCGTCCCAGCGGCTCTACCTGAAGGCTCACGGTGAGACGGCCCGAGAGAAGGGGTGGGATGTGGTGCTGTCAGCAGAAGGACATCAGCAGCTGGTACGTGCAAGTGAGTAAATCACGGCGTAACTGAGAACCCACAAGCAACTCAAGTTGCCTACTCCGATAACTTATCAGCCTCGAGGGCAAACTCTCTCCTTGACAGCGCTCATCCCTTCAACTTACGGGAGAGCTGGGAAACCTTCCACGGACTGTTTTCTTCCCTTTTAAACGCTGTCTTGCTTTTTGTTCAGTAAAACGGACTATACCTGAGTGATCTCCCTATAGGTGTGTAAACAGCAGCTGAGTTCTGGGTTCTCTGCCTGTTTGTCTTACAGGTTTGCTTACAATGTCCTGATAACAGAACATGAATATCTGACCCTTGCAAGAGACGCTCCTGTCTTACTATTCAGCGCGGTCCCCTCAAGAACGAAAGCGCCAACGGCTAGCTGTGGAGCCAACGTGGGGTGCGAGGTTTCCCGGTGGGAGTTAATCCCGTCTCTGGGGAAAACTGCGTCGAAGTGCACAACACCGAAGCCCAGGCTGCGGGCGGGGCGAGGCCGGGACTGACCTTCCGCCCCGGCCGCAGCCGTCCGACTGGCGCCGCACACGGACACCGCCTGGGCGCCACCGCCGAGGGGGCGGCGGGGACACGGGGGGTCCGTGAGGGGCCGGGGACACCCGGGGCCGGGGGCGCCGAGGCGGACAGACCGCGCACCAGAGCCAAGAGGGAACCCCCCAGGCTGCCCGCCGCGTGCACTTGCCAGGAGGACGGGCCGCGCTCACTCACCTGCCGCCGCGACGCCAGCCGCGCTCCCCAGGCCCCGCCCCGAGAGTCACTTCCGGCCGGCCGGACGCGCACGACGGAAGCACGCCACCGAGACCCTGGCTCCGGCCGGCCTCGGTTGCTGAGCAACGCGGTTCTCTGTCGCGAGGCGGGGCCGGGTCTGCAGCTCCACTGGCCGGCGGCTGCCCCTGCCCCGCCGCACCTGCCCGGCCCCTGCCTGGCTCCTGCTCCTGCCCCTGGCTACCCGTTTCCCCTGGTCTCTGCCCCCCGCCCACACCTAGCTGGTCACCATGATGCAGGGTGCGGAGCGTCCTCGCCCTGTCTCCATCCTTACCTGCCCTCCTGGTGCTGCTGTCTGGAGTTTCTCGGTTGGACCATGAGGGTGGTTGCTGGTGGTGGAGATGCGAATGTTCGGCCTCGAAGGATTGTGCCACATTGGAGTATCACATGTTCGTACTGACAACCCTCGCCCTTGTCTGGGGATTCAAGTTGTCACTCCCCAACGCTGTTGTGTTGGGGAGTGAGACATTAAAAACTTGTGAGACATTAAAATCTTGTTTTGTCAGTCTGATGGGTCTGAAGTAGTATCTCTTTCTGGTTTTTATTCTCACTTCCATGACAATGCATTTGAGTATCTTCTCATGTTTATTGGCCATGTTTCCTCTTCTCTGAAATACCTGTTCACTCATATCTTTGTACCTACCAGTTTTCTACTGAATGGTTTGTCTTCTTCTTATTGTTTTGTAGTGCTATGTTTTGGATATTACATTTTTGTCAGTGATGTTTGTTGTAAATATCTGTGATTTATCTTTACACTTTGGTGTTTGAGGAACACAGTTTATTTTGATATAGAAAAATTCATCAAGTTTTCTTTGTGGCTAGTACTTTTTGTGCCTTAAGAAATCCTTCACTATCCCACGTGACTCTCCTACATTTTTTTCTGATGGTTTCAAAGTTTTAAATTTAACATTTAACTCCTCAATTCAATTTGGAACAGATTCAGTACTAAAAATAAAATCCTAAACACACACACACACCCCAGACTGAATGGACCCCCTCTTAGCCAAGGGAACCCCAGAAAAAATTTAAAACTGAGTTCCTGGGCATGAAAGGAAGGGAGGTCAGACAGGATTCCTTATATCCCTCCTTTTGGAGTTCAATTGTAAACTGGACCTAAGGCGAGGCAAGACAGAGGCTAAGTTCATACCTGCTGGCCATCGATTTGTTTAACAGGTCACTTTGAGTCACTATGTTGTGGCTTGTTCTATGATTAGCAGACACCTGTAAGTATTCCCTTCTACTGACTCCAGGTCTTTAGACAAAGCTTTATTTTTTTAAGTAATTACAAATTAAAGAATTTTTGGACCCACCTATAACCTGTAAGCGCCCTGCTTTGCGATATCCCCAATGTTTATTCTAAATCAATGGATACCTTCCAAGTTTTGATTTGTGATTTTTACCTGCAATTCCTGTCTTCCTAAAATGTATAAAACAAAACTGCAATCTGACTGCCTCAGGACCACTTACTCAAGACTTCTTGGATTTGTGGACCTCAGGGCCATGGCAAGTTATATTGGCTCAGAATAAACCTCTTTAAATTATTTTGCAGGTTTTTTTTT